TGCACAGGCTGAAAAAGAGTAGGGTGGATGGAAGGCCGAAAGAGGAGAGAAAAGGCATGGAGCATTGAGAGGCACACATGGAACTTAAAAGACCATCCTGTCCACTGTCCTCTCTTCTATGAAGCAGCTGTTGGTGTATTCAGAGGGCGTTTTCATGTCAAATATTGAGCTCTTCCACACACTAGAGGTGTCACTTCACATGAAACGCCCACAAATAGCATGGATGAGTGGGGATCAAAACCAAACTATGGTCCGCACGAGTAGATTGTACTCTAGTGATCATTGGAACAATGTGAAACAAAAACATATACCCACTGTTGGATGGCATAAAAACCCCAGAAATATAAGGCCATTTGTCCTACTTTGATACTGTTGATATACTCATTTCAGCCTTCCACCCCAAGAAGTTAAACAAATGCTCAGTATGGATCAGCCTATGGACACCTCCATCTTCTTTTTTCCTAAAATAGTAACTTCCACCTTTATGGAAAGGACTGATGTTCTGTAGCATTGACTACAAGGCAGGATGAACCCCTAAATATGACACACCCAGCAGGGCTGGTCAACTTGTGATTCTCCAGGTCTTCTGGGATTGCAGCTCTCATCATCTGACGCCATTTGGCTATGCTGACCAAAGCTGATGGAGGTTTCATGCCCATGACATCTGGAGGTCCACAGGTTGCTCATCCCTCTGCTAGAGACAGAGGTGAGTTTATCTAGCCTGGCAATCTCCAATCTGCAACTCCCACTATCCTCAAAAAGAATGTCAATGGACAAAGTAGCTAAGACTGATGGACCAAACCGATTTGGAAAGCATTACATAGAGGAAGCCTGGAACACAGGCAAAAGTTGAAACTGAAAGAATGACAAACTCAAAGAATTCCCTGCTAACATTTTTGTAATGCAAAACTGAAAGGCAGAAGAGAGATAAAATAAGGATGGTTTTGTCAGTGACCAAAAAAAAAGGATCTGCTTCTAATAAACAGGAACACTTGGCGCATAAGTAAATATCCTGTTTGGTGTTTCAACAGCACACACACACAGAGAGAAAGTCATTACTTGTTGATATTGGACTGCTTCTTCCCCTTTTTAATTTTTTTAAGCAATTTAACTATCTTACAAGCATCTTCCAGGCTGTCTGGGGCTTATTTCTTGTCCAAAAAAAAGAAAAGAAAAGAAATGGCCTAATTGCTTCCGGGGGGGGGTGGCTTAGGTTTTTGTGGGAAGTGTAGTTTTGCTGTCCATTGGGCTATATATAGGGTCCCCTCAGAGAATGAAGGGATGTGGTGGCGCAGTATGTTAAACCGCATAAGCCTCTGTGCTGCAAGGTCAGAAGACCAGCAATCGTAAGATCGAATCCACGCAACGGAGTGAGCTCCTGTTGCTTTGTCCCAGCTCCTCGTCAACCTAGCCATTCTAAAGCATGTAAAAATGCAAGTAGATAAATAGGTACCACCTCGGTGGGAAGGTAAAATGGCGTTCCCTAGTCACGCTGGCCATGTGACAATGGAAACTGTCTTCGGACAAGCGCTGGCGCTATGGCTTGAAAATGGGATGAGCACCACCCCCCTAGAGTCGGTCATGACTAGACTAAAAAATGTCAAGGGTCACCTTTACCTAGGAGAAGGGGCAGGCAGTGCAAGATACCAAAAGAGTGTTTTTATTTACTTATTCAATTTCTATCCTGCCCATCTAGACCCAAGGTGTACTCTGGGCGGTTTACAAATTTAAAAACAATAAAACTAATAAGCATATATTATAAATCTGTACGGGAGATATCCCATTTCTTTCCTGCTATTGCCTTCAGCAGGAAAATGGGATAAAATGCTGTACAATCTCAAATCCGTTTGCTCCAGTCTCATGGAGTCTAGCAAGTTTTAGCTGAAATTCACAGAATGTCGGCGGGGGGGAATGAGAACAAACTTATGTTCTCTGGAAATTCATAAGATTATTTAAGTATCTGGCTGCAGACTCTGAGTTGAGGAAGTGAATTTTATCCACAAAAGCTCGCATTAAAATGTAACCGTCTTTAAGGTGCCACAACATGTTTGACTTTTTAAATTTGTTCTTCTATTTTCATTTTGTTTTTACCTATAAAGAGACTCACACGTGCTAACATGGCTACCTCTTCTACAACTAAAATTCCCCGCTCTGCCTCCTGGGAGAAAAGCCAATTTCTGTAGCCATGTGCAAGCTGCAAAGTCCCGGGACACCCCCCCTCCCGAAGGAGGAAATGGCAAACATCTTCTAAGTATTCTCTACCTGGAACACCTTGAAAAGCGTTGCCATAAGTCGGTATCGATTTGACAGCATGCAGTTATAGATACCATATATCTGGAAAGCAAGATGTTTGGCATCAGCCTGCTGTGTTGCCTGAAAGACAACCCCCCTCCACCCCAACCCGCCATCTATCACATGGCATAGACCAAACCAGGGTCAGCTTGAGGCAAAGATTTCCATGCTCGTTCCATGCTCCTCAAATTGGCTTGACCTGAAGATGAATCTCGCTTCAATATAGACCATCAGACAGCAGGAAATGGTGTCTGAAGGCATCAGGTTATGTTAGAGGAGACAGTTCCGCCTGTGTGCCCTACAGCTCTCTCTTTCCAACACCTTGCTGTCCCCTCCTGTCTTTGCCACCGACGGCAGCTGGCCCACTCCGCTTCACGGCAGGGCCGGCCCTGTGTTCAATTGCAAGCAAACAAAATCTGGAGACAACAATAAAGAGAACTCAAGTCTACTGGATGTCCTGTGACCCAAACCTGCCCTGGCTTCTACTTATGTACGTGTGTACGTGTGTGCGTGTGTGCGCGTGTGTGTGTGCGTGTGTGTGTGTGTGTGTGCGTGTGTGCGTGCATGCGTGCGTGTGTGTGTGTGTGTGTGTTACATCCTTCTAAAAGTCACATGCAAATTTCAAAGTGTGAGGAGAAGCACCACGGGGATGACAAAAGGAAAAACCACCAGGTACCCCATGAAGATATCGTGGGGCATCCCATGGTAAAATTGTCCAAAAAAACAAAAAATCACAACAACCCCACATACAGAAGCTCATCAGCCTATCACAGAGATCTTTAATTTCCAGCCCATGCTGCAATGCAGAAGAGGAGTTAGTAACGATTCACTACTGAATCTGGGCTGACATTAAGATTTACACTAAGCAGTCCTAACGCGGTGGTGGTGGGGGGGGAACAGGCACAGTGTCAAAAAAAATAAAAGCCATCTACTGCTCAGCAAAACAACATCCTTTTGTGAGACTGGGAAGTGTTTGTATGAAATGAAAACCTAGAATAACCACCAGAATCTCCTTCTGTGGCTTGGGCTGAAGTTGCCACATACCTGACTTCTTAGAGAAGATGCAGTTAATAGTTTCCATGGGAAATACATGTTAGAGAACCTTTCCAGACCCTCTCCGCCAAAAGATGATGTCATCTAGGTGGCTATTGTAGGCTTTGGAAAATGACAATAGATATATATATATATATACTGTATATATATATATATATATACACAAAGCAGGCTGAGGCATACAGTATTGCTTTCTGGTAATCTGAAATCCAGTGGTCTTGCTGAGTTGTACCATTCGAGGCTATTAATAGGCTGAAGTTCAGGAGCCCTTTCTATACGATTGCATAGCTTGTAGGTCAGATGTGGTTTAGAGTAGACCTTCCTGGACGGTACAATTTCAGGCAGGAAGGAGGGTGAATAGACGCTCAGGGTGTAAGTAAGAAGGGGAGGGGGAACGTGTGTGTAAAAGCTCTTCAGTGTGCAGATATGTAATAAAATTCTGGGAGTGCTGAAATGAGCGGATTTGGGAAATGTCTAGGTCTGAAGCCCTCCTCCGGGCAGGAAACTAAAAGCCACTTGAAATAAAAGGGAGCAATATGGTCAATACAAAATAAAATACAAATGCAAGAGTAGGTGATACCTTTATAGACCGCTAAAAATCATTATAGTATGAGAGCTTTCGTGGATGAAGTCCACTTCATCAGGCTTGTACCAGTGCAAAGAACTTAAAAGTCCAGCTTAAAGTCCAATCTGAACTCAACTGTCTAAACATAGTGAGCACACTAAATCATCACCCCAATTCCCAGATGGAGGACTTGGGTTTTCTGTGTTATCCCCTCTCCCTGGCCAAGCAGAGACATGTCTATTTCCCACCCCAATTCCCAGATGGAGGACTTGCGTTTTCTGTGTTATCCTCTCTCCCTGGACAAGCAGAGACATGTCTGTTTCAAAGAAAGGCCAAAAGGGAGGTGTGTGTGTGTGTGCATGGCTTGCGCCTCTTAATTTGAAGAACCGGGATGTGAGATCCAATCCACAGCTGCCTCAGCTTTAATGTTTAAAGAACAACTCAAATTTCTTTCCTGACTTACATCTAAGGAAACCGTGTCCAGTGAAATCCATCTTGCCTTTGGACTTTAGGTTCTTCACACTGCTACAAGCCTGAGGAAGTGGTGTTTGGTCCACGAAAGCTCGTGTATTGTGTATCGTGATATTTTAGTGGTCTATAGAGGTATCACCTACTCTTGCATTTAGAAGCCACTTGACTCTCCAATTTCCAGTGTTCTGATGAATGAGTTCAAAGCCACTGGAATGAACAACGATCCTAGGATTTCACATACCTGTGGAGTACATTTCCCAGCGACCTCAGTTCCCATGTCAAGAGCGTCCACAGTAAAAGCTCTCTTTTATTCACATAACCACAGCTTACAAAGGTTATGGCTTGAGACTATAACTGCCACAATACCCCTGGCCATGGTGGCTGGAGGTTTGAGGGGAGCGCTGTGGTCCAGATAAATTACTTTCCCAAGCCCTGCGTATGACGAACAGGCTAAGTAGCTACACTGGCGATGCCCAGCTACAGCCAAATTCACCGAATCGAGAGAAGGGAACCAAGCCTGACAATTTTTCAGGGCTAAAAGACCAGGAACCCAAACACATCAGTGCAAGAGCTGTCTCCGGCTGCAAGCCTCTCCTCTTAAAAAACGGACACAACTTACTCCGCGGTTCCCGAGGTCCATCGACGGTCACTTTGATGGCACGGTGATAGGTGGCGACTTGGGTGGGGTTTGTAAAGACCGTAATCGTCAAAGTAAAGCTTTTCCCTAAAGAGTAAGAAGAGAAGCGAGATCGTGGATGAGTCCAGGACACAAATGCAGAGCAGGGGTGGGGAACATGAGCCTTGAGGCCAGAACTGGCTTCCCAGATTTTGTACATTTCATTTTCCCATGTACAAGGTTGGAATGCCTCCCCTAAGGCTTGGTTACTTGGCAGTGAGAGTTTTAATCTAAAAGATACAGGTATTTTTGGCCCCACACTTTTGTCTGTGGCCCTTCCCACCTTTGGAATGCACCTCCCCACCAAAAAGTTTTTTTTCTTGAAAGTGAATCTGGTGCTCAGGCTATTAAAAAAAACACAACAACAACAATGATCCCCAGCCTAGATGCACAAGATCAGGACAGGAAGGAAGGATGGAGGAGATGTAAATTTGAAAATAATACTCAATGTGTATTTAACCAATGGCTTAACAAGGGCTGGTTTCTTTTTACGACTATTTGTGCAACGCCAGTAGGAATGAAATGATGGGAAGCGTGAAGCAACAGCCTGGAAGGAAATGGGGATGTTATGAGACAAGCTAAGAAACCCAACGAACCATCACAATATGCTGTGGTGGTCGGCTGGTTCCCATTGTGATTCATGGGGTGGAAGGAAAAGTATAGGTACGCAGTGGTGGGAGTGAGAGGGCTGCACACACACACACACACACACACACACACACACAAAGGCATACCTAGAGAGAAAGGTAGACAAACATCTGCACATACAGACAGCAGGAGAAAAACAGAGATCGGGCATGATGTACTGCATTAGCTAAGAGGTGGGCAGGAGTGTGCTGGTTGGGGTTAGCCTGAGACTAAAACACTGCCCCGCTTGTCCCAGTCAACAAGCAGCTCCTGCTGTCAGGACTGATGTCCATGGGACAAAAAGCAGATGACCCAGTTAGTACGTCATTAGAAGCGGGGCTCCTTGAAGAGATGAAAGACGTGACTTTATCCTAGTAGAAACTGCCTTGCCCCACAGTGTGGCAAATCCACATGGCTTTCTTCTGATGGGTTATTGGAAGGTAAACTCAGTAAAGGGCGAAAGGGTGAGGCCAGATCTAAGTGCTCAGGCACAAGGTTCGGTAAAAAAAAAGTGCCTGGATGGAAATTGTTGTAATAGCAGGGGATATAGATAAATGGTAAAGGTTCCCCTTGACATTTAGCCCAGTCGTGTCCAACTCTAGGGGGCAGTGCTCATCCCCCATTTCCAAGCCAGCGTTTGTCCGAAGACAGTTTCCGTGGTCATGTGGCCAGCACGACTAGACAAGGAACGCCGTTACCTTCCCACCGAAGTGGTAACTATTTATCTACTTGCATTTTTACATGCTTTCGAGCTGCTAGGTTGGCAGGAGCTGGGACAAGCGACGGGAGCTCACTCCGTCACGTGACAGCTGGTCTTCTGACCTTGCAGCACAGAGGCTTCTGCGGTTAAATCTGCAGTGCTACCACGTCCCAGCAGGGGATATACTTTACTCTTAATTTTTAATTGGGCATAATGTTTGGACATACGTACTGCAATATACAACAGTAAAGAGGAAGGTGATTTCCAGGTACTTGGGTCCTTGAATCACATAGGGCTTATACAGTGGCAAGGCCAAGCTTATCCTCATAGGTAGGACGATTTACTCATTCAGCTCGGTATTGTCAACTCTGTTTGACAGCAAAGATACTTCATTTGCTCCTGAACTGAACAAAGCACTTTTACGTATCTTGAACTGGGATAGAACAGGTTGGATGGGTGTTCACCCTGCCATAATGTTGCACAGAAGTGAGGCAGTGAGTCCTAAGTAGCTGCTTTCAGGTGTCTTGGGAAGGGGGGGGGGAATCCAGCAAATTGTTAGTTATTTTACTAACAATTATTTAATTCTGCAGCAAGAATTGACAGGCATTGCTGGGATTATCTGCTAGAGGCACAAAAATAATTTGAAAGCCACAGCAGCCAGTGGTACTACACATCTCTTGGCTTAAATCTGTGGAGCTTGACTTAAATTTAGTGCTGCTTTTCAGGCAACAACATTTATTGGAGCAGCCCTGGTCAAGTCTTTCTCTACAAAAAATAAACCAGTTTTCTTCTGATGTCTTGAATAACGCAGACAGCTGCTTCCGGCAATCTTTTAAGTGAGTTCTCCTCCTGTGCCTTAAAGAGTAGTCGGATATCCTGAAATCGGAGTTTTTAAAATACAGTGGTGCCTCGCTAGATGATGATAATCCGTTCCACTGAAATAGCTGTTTAGCAAAATCATTGTTTAGCGAAAAGCATTTCTCCATTGGAATGCATTGAAACCTGTGTAATGAGTTCCAATGGGGAAGAATCGTCGTTGTCTAGCAAAGATCGGCGATAGGAAAGCCACTTTGCGAACCGCTGATCAGCTGTTTAAATAGCTGTCTTGTGAAGCTTAGGTCCCGAAAACACCCGTTTTGTGAGTGTGGAGGGAGCTGTCAAAATCGTCGTCTAGTGAACATTGGTTTGTGAAGCAGGGAACAAACATTGTCCAGCGAAATTCCCCCATAGGAATCACTGTTTTGCGAATCGCTATAGCGATCGCAAAAAGTCAATGTCTAGCGAAAAAACTGTCATGCAGGGTAACTGTCTAGTGAGGCACCACTGTACAGTATTCACTGTGTCTTCCTGCCCAGAACAGTTTCCCCTACTGTCTGCATTACACTATTAATGGCACAATACTGCATTTAATTGTGTTTTTTTTAATCAGCATTCTGAAGAGGAATTTCCTTGCACAACAGAAAAATAACTTAGCAAGGAAAATATGAGGCTGAATGCTTTTCCCTGACATATTTCATTTCTATGTGCAGGGCTGTAATGAAGGCGGGGAAATTGGAAATTACCCCAGGGTACCAAAATTTAGAGCTGAATCAAGTGGCATGGATTAAGAAAATAAGCAGCAATGCATCCTACCCCCTTTCTTTCTTTCTTTCTTTCTTTCTTTCTTTCTTTCGTTCTTGCTTACTTTCTTTCTTTCATTATATCTTTCTTTCTTTCTGTCTTTTCCATTCCTTTTCCTTCCTTCCTTATCTGCCTCATTTTTCACAGTGATTTCACACCTGTGTCTCATTGCAGAATAAAAATGGGAGATGTTGCTTCTCCTACCGGCTGCCAAAAAGGCTAATTATGGCTCTCTTTATGTGCAAGGACCCAAGGAGGAGAGACACACACAGAGAGAGTGAGTAAGCAAGAAGGAAATTCAAACATGCGAGTTTCCACTCCACTCCACGACACGTACACCTCCAACAAAAAATGTGGAGGCGGGGTCATCAAGGACAAAATGTCATCACTTGATTGAGCTAATTACAGATCCTGGCACTTGACAGTATTTTATAAAAATCAGGCCCACATGTGTAATCATTCTACACAAGACAGAATCCAGGAGTTTCAGTCTGTCAGTTTTACATCTTCAGACACAAGATTCTCATACAACTGACGCAGGGTGGCCTCCTGTCATCCTTGTTTAGGAAGGACAGTCCCACATCTGAAGGGCAGACTGAGGATACAGTGGTGCCTCGCTAGACGATGATAATCCATTCCACTAAAATGGCTGTTTAGTGAAACCATTGTCTACCGAAAAGCATTTCCCCATTGGAATGCATTGAAACCTGTTTAATGCGTTCCAATGGGGAAGAATCATCGTTGTCTAGCGAAGATCAGGCATAGGAAAGCCGCTTTGCAAACCGCTGGTCAGCTGTTTAAATAGGTATCTTGCCAAGCTTAGATCCCGAAAACACCCATTTTGCAAGTGCGGAGGGAGCTGTCAAAATCGTTGTCGAGCGAAAATCGGTTTGCAAAGCAGGGACCAAACATTGTCCAGCGAAATTCCCCCATAGGAATCACTGTTTTGCGAATCGCTATAACGATCGCAAAAAGTCAATGTCTAGCAAAAAAACTGTCATGCGGGGTAACTGTCTAGCAAGGCACCACTGTAATCCTCATTACAGAGGTGTCCTCTGTTTAAATGACTGAGTCGTTAAAATCTGATCAACAGACAGAGACCCAACAGAAGGGAGAGCTTTGAAGACACCCATCCATGGTGACCACTTGGTCTGCAGACTCTGGAACACGGATCATCTCCTAGTGGTCTTCCCACTTGAATGAGAATCATAATGGGCTCAAGTGAGAAGAAGCCAGATTTAGGGGGAAAAAACTTCTTAGCTGTGAGAGCAGTACGACAATGGAGCCCATGACCTCAAGAGACGGTGAGCGCTCCAATGCTGGAGGCATTCAAGAGAAAATTGGACAACCCTCTGTCAGATCTGCTTTGATTTGGATTCCTACGCCGAGCAAGGGTTTGGACTCGATAGGCCCCTTCGAACCCAACCATTCTATGATTCTATTTCTGTTTAAACTGCTTTTTAAAAAGTCACTCCTGTGGATTTAGGAGACTGCAACCGGATGTTGTCTTTTGTCCATTTTGCATGACAATGCCTACGGCATGCCCTCCTTTTGCGTGTCTTGTACGGTGCCGGTGTAATGTAGACACAAAAGATCTACAGGCCAAAGGCAGATATTTGGATGGCTGCAGGGAGCTTTGTCTGAGATGCCAGAAATGGAACTTGAAGTCAAGCGCCTCCCATCTTCCCCAAGGACTCCAGACTACTGTAATTTCTTAACCCAGACATGGAGAACTGAGGGGGGGGGGGAGAGAGAAGGGTCCTAATGAATTCAAGAGTCAAGTTGAGATTGAGCTGCCTTCAGTTTGGAAATTTGTGAAAAGGGGAGGGGGATGGAAAAAAGGAAGGGGGGAGGGAGGAGGCCGAAGCAAATAATTGAGTACAGAAATGAAAGCTTAATTCATAAAAGCAAAACATTTTCCATTCATCAACCTGCAAGCAGTTAAGTGGTGGTAGGGGGGCGGTTTTGAAAGAAAGGCTCCCTGCCTGCCATTTGGGAAAAGAGCCAACAGGCAAGCGGAAACGGCAGGAAAGAATGTAAACTATTTGGGTTTCGTAGAGGGCAACAAGTAAACAGTTATTACACGCAAATCATTCTCTAGATCACTCGGCCTTAAAGCCAAGAAGCCCAGATCTCTTGGATGGTTTGCATGTATACAGGCAAAATGCTGGGAGAAAAGCTGGCGAGCAGACAGCAAAAACGTCTCATGGAAGGAGCAGATGCTGAAGATGATGTTAAGCTTGCCAAAGGGAGCACCCTCTAAGAACGCCCTTAAGACCAGCATCAGTTCTGTTCAGTTGATGTCGGAATACTTACACGACCCAAGTCCATTCCAACTTATAGGGAGCCACATAAGGTTTTCTAGGTCTAAAGAACTTGAAAGGGTTTGCCAGCCAGTCTTTCTGTGATGGTATTATGTTCTCCCTAAGCATTTCGTCCAGCTCCTTCCGCACCTTGTCCCTATAGGGTACCGTTACTCGGTATGGGGATACTGCCTGCGGGGCACATCCTTGTGCAAGTTGTATGCAAAAGTTTTAACATGGGGTGATAGCTAAGTGGCAGGACATGTGCTTTGCACTGATTAGGTCCCAGGTTCAGATCCCACCATCTCTTCATGTGGCTGGAATTGAACGATGAAAATCTGTGAATATTGTTTTTTTTTTCTTATTTCAAAATGTTTGAAACTTCAAGCTCTTTGAACCTCATAATGGTAATTTGCAAATTTTGATTAAAATCTACAAAACCATCTGAAACAACATTCTCCCCCCCCCCCATTCACGCTATCCAGATCCAACAGAAATAGCTGTTCTCATCATGGAGATGGGCATGTTATTTTACTTGCCTGCTGTGCAGCTGATAAGAAGCCACTGAGAAAAGAGAGGTGGCAACGCAAACTCATCACCACCAGCATAGTTACAGGATTGGAAGTCAAACTTTTAAGAGTTAATCACTCAAAACCTTGGGCCCAAATAGATGGATTTCTCAGTGTTTCTTGTACCACTTTCTCCTCCTTTTCCATTCCAAATATGATGGTATTTGTGAATGTTGGCCAATTTTTAGCAAACATGAACCAAACTGAAATGATCACCTATTCTTATCTGAAACATCTGAGAGTGACTGTCAGTTAGTATATGCAATGTTGAAACAGGGCTGTAGTATTTTAAGGAAAGAAGTTCTACAGCTTGAGAGTGACCACCGAAAAGACCCTCTCCTGAATCCTCCCCCAACATGCCTGTGAGAGCAATGGGAAAGATAGAAGGGCCTGTCCCAGAAGGTCTTAAAATCTTCTGGGAGGGGCAAAATTGGAAGTTAATAATACTGGCCAAAATCCTGTTGCAGCTCTGTTCATGCAAAAGGATTGATATCATCAGCAGATCAGTGCTGATTAAAGACTTCCTTTTTCAGTTTTGGGGTATGAATGACTCATGTGTGATGCAACAAAGTCACATATACCCCAGAAATAAAAAAAGTAACTCTTGAATCAGCAGCAATCAACATTTTTACTATTGTGCAGGTGGATCCTGCCCAACAGTATTTTGGGCCAGTGTTTCTATAATTTAAAGAGAAACATAATGCTTCATCTCTCTCTTTTTTTAAAAAAAAAAACTCCACTTGGACAGTGAAATTGCTATTCCTCTCACCATCCATTCAAGATGGTTTTTCCGTTATCTGTTGATCATTCATATTTGATCCTCTTACCTCGGCCGCTCCGTCCAACAAAGCGAAGGTCGTTAAACCTGGCCACTTGATTCTTCATCACTGCAGAAGCGTTCCGAAGCTCGGCTGAGTAGTTCTCGTCGTTACCAGCCATAACGGTTACCACAGTCCCATCAGGCACATCTCCGAGGGCTACCACCTAGACGTTGCCAGCAGCCATGAAGAATACAAGAGCAGCAACATTTAGAACCGATGTATGAACTACTCAAGGTTGACCTAAAGCATATTGGGCCCTCAAGCAGAGAATCCACGGTAAAAGCACAACACATGCATAAAAAGGTAACACCAATTAAAATAGGGAGGCATAATTATCTTGCTTGGCCTTGGGCATGCCCAGAGTAAGTCCCTGTGAATACAGTGGTGCCTCGCAAGGTTAATGTAATTTGTTCCACGAGTAGTGCTGTCTTGCGAAATTTTCGTCTTGCAAAAAGCAGCTTCCCATAGGAATGCATTGCAATAGAAACCTCGCAAGACGAAAATAATTCATTCGTCTTGCGAGGCATCGGTCTTGCGAAAAAAATTTGTCTTGCGAAGCACGGCCATAGAAGAAGCCATCCTGCGAGGCACCATAGCGATCACAAAAACCATTTGTCTTGCAGGTTTTTCGTCCCATGAGACGTTCGTCTTTAGAGGCACCACTGTATTTACTTCTGAGAAAACATGTAGAGGCCTCAACTGTTGTGGATGCTTGTGGAATCTGATTTATGTGGATTCTGAATTGAAAAGACTAAGTACATTTCAACCTAACTAATCTGTGGGTAAGAACTTAATTATGCACTGGTTCTCATGCTGAATTGTAAGATAGTACTTGGCTTAGAAAACAGAGAATACATTGACAATAAAGATTTTGTGATATATTTCTGAAAAACTGTAGAAATCTGCATTTTGAGAATACACTGAAAAATAAGCATCTAATTAAGTGTTAAAATGCGAGATTTAGTGCATTTTGAAAGATTCTTTTGATGCAGAAGGAACGCAGCTAATAAGAAAATACATGGGGATCTGATGTTAGCCAGAAAGGGCGTGGTCTGGCCATTCCTAATTTAGGAGTAAATCCCACGGAACGCTGTGATGGCCTTCTGAAGAAAACATATGTAACGTTGCACAAGGAACAAGGAGTCATTTGTTAATAGAGAATGAAATAACGAACAGTAAATATATTCATTGATTCCTAACGTGGTGTAATTGGCAGAGTGACGTCCTAGGACTCAGGAGTCCTGAGTTCAAATCCCTGCCCAGATATGGAAGCTCACTGGGTGAGTAGAACTGGTAAAACCACTCCTGAAATATCTCACTTACCTTGAAAGCTCTGTACTGTAAGTCAACCAGTTCAGTCAATTCTGACTTGATGGTACAAAACACAACACACACAAAATATGAGTGATCGTGGTACTGTGTGATCCTTATGACTGTGAAGAATAGTCTCTCTCTCTCTCTCTCTCTCTCTCTGTGTGTGTCTGTGTCTGTGTCTGTGTCTGTGTCTGTGTGTCTGTGTAAGTTAAGGCTCTGTGTTTAGGTTCAGTACCTATTATTATTTGGTATTTGTTGTTGTTATGTGTCATTTAGCCCCTTCTGAGTTATGGCAATCCTTAGAAGAGTTTTCGAGGTATGGAACACATTCAGGAGTAGGTAACAACAACAACAGCAACAACCTTAGAACTGCAGAACTCAAAAGGAATCCATGGGTCATCTAGACCAGCCCCTGACAAGGAGACACAGTGGCAATCAAACTCCCAGCCTCTCTTAATTATATAATATGAAATGTGGTAGGTTTTTTTTTTAAAAAAAATGAACATTTGATTCAATTTTTAAAATCTGATCATCAGTGTCTTGCGTTTTTACAACATCCACCATTGGTATTTGCCCTATTATTGCGGCTTTTTGAATTTATGACTGATGGTTTATACATCTTCAAACTGAAGGTTGCATATCATCCAGACCTTTGTACTGCCTCACTGAGATGTGGAAGGGAGTGTGTGTGTGTGTGGGGGGGAGAACTGGGATGCTATGGTACAACCAACACAAAATAGTTTTAAAAGTCCCATTGATTTCGGTGGAAGAGAATGAGAAAAGTGTTGTAATTCTCTCATGGAAATCAATGGGTTTTAAAAAACACATTTGGCTGTGTCTGACTTGTATCCTTACTGCTGAAGATGTGAAAGCTACTGCCCCCCTGTTTGAAGAAACACCCATCTTGGATTACAGCAACAAAATAAACCCAAAATAGCCTCAAAATAATAAACAGCTGAGCTCTTAGCTTAGCTGAATTTGGCTCTGCTTGGTTAATCAAATAAAGATTCAGTCTAGAGACAGTTTGGCACTCTTAGACTGCACAGACTTCAATGGGAAAGCCATCACGAAATCTCTCCCACTGAAATCCATGGGGCTCAAGTATCCAGTCATAATTTAAGGTTCATTAAAGACGACCCCTGAAATATTGATCTCTCAATTGAATAAATGCCTGTTTACTAAGAATGAAGTCTTGATTTGTTTACCCAACACTTACTGCCGGGTAAATGTGCATAGTGTTACAGCCTAATGCAACCCTAACCCTGCACTATGGGGGGGGGCCGAAAGTCCCCTTTGAATTTAATGGGAAGTGTTGCTAGGGTTCATGAGTATACTGCCATAGTCTAGCAGTATCCCTCCCTTTTTTAACCTGATTGTACCCAACTTCATAGTACTTGTTACTCACCCTACATATTTATTTATAACCTTGTTGGCTTCTGTTAGTATGGTTAGTGTTCATACCAAAACTTGCATGTACCAATTAATTTACGGAGCTTTCTAAGCAAAAGGAACAATCCTCAGCGCTAATGAGTTTCCAGTTTAAATTTTGACTCTTTAAGGTGCCAATCAATGGGATCTAACACAATCTCTCTGTGCCAGGTTCACCTTCAGGTCCACAGTAATATATTTGCATGTGAAGAGGCCCATCAGGGCTTGTCAAATTATCCCAGTACTTTCGTTGGTTCATGGGTGACAACTCAGAAAATCAAATTTTGCTTTGTAATGAGCAAAATCTTCTCTGCCCACTTTCTTTTGTAAAAAGGACTCAATACAGTAGGCTTCGCATTTGGGGAAATGTTTTTGCTGCTACTACTTTGTTTCTCGCCTCGTTATTGTTGTTATGTGTTCTCAAGTTGGAACCAAATTATATAGACTCTAGTAGGGCTTTCAAGGTAAGTAGGACATTAAAGGAGTGGTTTTCACCAGTGCCATACTGGCAGTGAGCCTCCATGGCTGAGTGGGGATTTGAACCCAGGCCTCCTGAGTCCTAGTCTGTCCCTCTATCCACTATGCCACACTATTCCTCCCCTACAACTCCTCAAATCCTTCAGTCACCATTGTGGAGAGATTGTGGGAACGGAAGTCCTGTGATGCAAAATTTTTTCTAAGTTCTTCTATTTTGCCACATTTTGGAATCAGTGAATATAGCTTGTCATCTAAAGGACAAGATAAATCCATTGGAAGTCAGTAAAATAATACATATTATCATCAAAAGAGGGAGACTTTATAAGGAGGTCAAGTCCAGAACAACTCCCTCAGCACCTGACAGTTTTAAAACCAGAATCTAACATTATTTAATGATTCCTTCACCTTAATGGTGCCCACATTGTAGTCTTAATTAATACAGAATACATTGTGGTTATTTTTTTAACCGTTCCTGTGAATTTTAGTTCTAACAGAGCCGCAACATTACAAGAGTGTTGCTGCATTTAAATCCTTAAAAAATGACCTTAAATTGCACATTTCAAATGTACTAAAGACTTTTTTAAAAGGCAGACATGTAGGACATTTTGTCAGTGAGCAGGAAGATAAGGCTGTTTATCACATTTATTTATACTCTTTTAAATTTTGACATTTTCATCTTTTAAACTTTTCAATTGCTTTGCAATTTTAGTTTAGGAACAAGCTCATGGGGGGTGGGGGACCTGTTTCCATAAATGATGCCTCACCTTCTTAAATCTGCAATGCGTTTCGACTGGTGTCCGTCAGAAAATATATAATTATCGTAAATCTGAACGTGTGCAGAGTACAGATCCACCTCCCCACGGAGCAATAGCAGACTCTACACCCAAAGTCAATTAGGGAGAGTCACAATATCCGAATATCCGAATATTCTTGGGAGTGTGGGTGTTGAAGTTTCCACTCTAGAAATTATGCAGTTCGACTGATGGGTTTGAATAATAAACAAATAAACAGAAAGTTTTAGCCACAGGAGATCTGTGCTAACGGTGACACATCCTTCTAGACTGTACTGAAAGGGTCAATTCTTCGAAGAAGACGAGGGCGCTGGACTCAAGGGAGATTGAGGTGGGGGCGAAGGGGCCAGCCAAAAGTTATTTGTGTCTATTCTGGGAAATACGGCCACTCTTCCGGGTCTTGCTACCTTTGTAACTGGACAGAATCCTGCCACAGACTCTTTTCTACAAACCCCTCTTATATGAGGAAGAAAACCAGTTGATCTATGGGGAACGAGTGCCTCGATGGCCAAATTCAGAGTAATGACTCTGCAGCAAGAGCCCTTAGCGCAACTTCAGGCGCCTCTAACCATAGTGCCTGAAGAAGCATTCTGCTTAACTCGGAAGCTGGCGAGGCTGCCGGCGGCTAATTGCTAAAATTCAGCAGTTTTGAGCTGCTCAGAAATCAGGGGTCTAAAAGGGTTTAATTCTGGCAGGTCCGTGCGTGGAAAATACAGCTTATTGTCTTTGGATTTTTAAAATTATTTTTTCTTAAGAGTCCTGACGATGAATTTGTTTCTACTACCAAAAAACAAAAAACAAAAAAACCTAGCTTAGAAATTTTATTTTATTCATTTTGAGCTTACCAGGCAATCATTTTAGGCTGGCATCCCAAAAAAGTAAATTTTCGGGCAGTAAGGCCAGAGGCACTGTGATTTACTCCTGTGTTTACTCCGAAGTAAACCCCACTGAATCCATCAAACTTAGTGCCAAGCACGTGTGGACAAGAGGTGTGGACAAGTCTTATTTCATCACAGCTCCAAGCCTATTATCGCCTCGGATCGAAAAATTTAATCTTATGCCCCTGCTCTTCAATCCAATCATCATCAAAATTAAGAATTTTGAGATACAACGTAGATGTTTTTTTTAAAAAAAATGTTTTCATTTGTCAGAA